AACTAACAAATGAACTTTAGACTCAGCCTCATCCTCAAAATCATCATCAACATCAACTTGCTGAACAATGCCACTTGTCAATAGACGATTGGTCTCCCACTTTTCATTATCCTACATGTACAATTAAGAAATTGCACCAAGTAAAATAAATTAAGATAATGGAATAATATAAATGTGATACCTCTTTAAATGTACATTGATGTTAAAACTAACTTTATTTAGCTGTCTTTGTTGAGCAGACATTCTCTTTACAGTGGTTTTCATAAGTTTCTCTTCTTTCTTCTTAGTATATTCTTCTGGTATGTTAGCAAATGGATTATTAGTATCATCATATCCACTATCCAGATCATACCATGCACGATCCATCCTCTATAACAGAAACAATGATTTATACTCTTCAATAATAAAAATTATATGTGTGATGTACAAAAACTTTCTTAAAAATAGAAACTCAAGACAAAAAAGCATTGCTTTTATTGCACATTACATGACTTACTTTTTGCTCATCTTCCCACTCGATTCTGTCTTCCATGCTACTGAACTTAATATCGTCATCATCCACATTGCCTAATGACAGACAACAATAACACAGTCATAAAAACATTACAACAGTGTGCCACAGTTTTTACATACAATAACTTTTTTGTGACCCCAAATTAAGAGCCCAAAATTACATTCAAAGAATCATTTGTCAATTGATCTGCCATCGGTTGGACTGTCAAGTTGCTCAAAAATTGGACCAAAGACTAATTTTACAGAGAATTTCAACAAAAATCACAAGAAGAGAATTCTCCATATTTTAAGTACATGTACTATATAGCTGGTTTATTTCGCTGCATCAATTTTTCATTGCTCAAAACTAGATTTCAAAGCAGGCATAATTTTTGTTAATATTTATCTGATATTAATAAAATTTAACAGAATTAATTTTATGGATTTGAGCCCACACAAAAATTAATTCCACATTTAATGAACCAGCTTTATGGTACATGATAACTCATACAGATGTAAATAAAAATTAAAATATTATTTATAGTACCTTCTTTTGTAGGCCTTCCAAAGCTTTTACGATCATTAGCCCAGTCATTATATAAATGAGAAGGAGTTGGCAATGGTGTATCAAGAGAGCCATGAGTACCAGTCCATCTAGGTTCATCAAAACTGGATAAATGAGCTGGTGTAGGAGTATCCCAAGCACTTCTCCTCACAGGAGTCTTTGTGTTATCTCCATCCCATGATGACCTTGATGGAGTACGCATATCTATAATATATATACCATACATGAAACTAACAAGTGTGCATATCCTTCCTTAGTAATATAAAGCTCTAACTATAAAAGTGTCGTCATTGTCAATAAAAAAATGAAATTCATTTCTGCGAATGTTAAACTTAATTATTATTGCCAGAAAATACATGTTGTGATTAAAACTGTCAAAGTAAAAAATTA